CAGGGTAGTACTCTACGATGGGCAAATATCGCATTTTCTTTACCCATTCATCTATTGCAGGAAATATAGGTTGTTTCCAAGACTTTGCTACTATCAGTTGTGATGTTATGAACATCTAAGTTCTTTAGGCAATGATTAAGATAAACTAATACTCTGTATACAGCTACAGAAAACTAAAACGGAATGCCTATATTTCATGAACAATTTTTTAAAAAGCAAGAGCTTAGGTTTTTCTGCTTTTTATTGCCCCTTTTTTCCTTGTAGTTTGTTGAAAAAAACAGATAATCATGCTTATTTTTATGGGTTGAGGAGCAAAGAACAGGGGAGATTTTCCCATTTTTCCTTTACTTCATATTGCATGAAAAATTTATGCCCAGAATTATAATTTGCAAATTCAGTGAGAAAAGAAGCAGCACTCAGATCTATGTTCTCCAGAATTCTGTTCCTCTGTTCCTGAAAAATAAACTTCTGATCTAGTGCTTTGGGCAGGAGGGAGAATAGGAAAAGAATAAAATCTCAGTAAATTTCAAAATACTTTATCTGCTGCAGAAAGTTCCGTACTACAGTCTTTGGGAAGCTTACATACAGGAGGAAGGACTGAGTTTATCATCTGAAAAAATAAGAAAAATAAGAGAAATCGAAGTATGTTGTACGCTTGAATTTTGCTGATTATATACGAAAAGCTCCGCAGCAGCTAGAATGAGAACCCAGGGCTCTGTACAACTGATAGATTACGCTAGCCCTAGGTATATCTCCCCAATAGTGACGCCTATACCGAAGTGACTATACTCACTGGATATCCCCAGGCCCAGAAAGCTAAGCCTACTTTCTCTATTCCATACAACTACTATGAAATTTTTTCATTTGAAGCAACCAAAATTATCTCAAAAGTTTTTCTGAAAAAAAGAAATCTGAAAAAAAATTATCAGCTGTGCAGCGTTTCCAGAAAAGCTGAAATATGAGGCTGAGAAAACGGAGGAACAGGGAAAGCTGTGTGCTAAGAGCACAGGCAGAATCACGCCTCCAGAAACAAGGACACGCACTGAGCAGCCACGGCCACAGGGGGCCACGCACAGCCCCTGCCACGCCAGCACTGCTACCAGGGCTGACACTGGAACTGTTGTCTCTGCTACTTGCATCAGAAAAATTTCCTCTGTTCCTGCATCTTTGCATCCATCGTTACTTCAGAAGGGCGCTGGCAGGGTCAAGGTTATAGACCGTTAGCCTGTTGGTGCAAAATCTGGAACACCGAGCATGTGTTATCTTTGTGGACATTGCCCACCCAATTCCTAGCCCCAGAAAAGAAGCAAGTGCACATGAAAAGCAGCCAAAATCACCAAGGATATCAGTCTCATAAATATTGTTTGAATTATTCAGTTAAGAGTGGAGAAAGAGCCTCTTCTAGGTAATATCTGCATACCAGTTAAATAATAAAGAACAGAAGCTTAATAACATATAACTTTACGATATAACTTGATAACAATATATAACAGAGATTCTTCCCTCTCCAGTCTAACCCAACCATACGAGTCCATAGCTGTGTTACCTTGAGCCAGTGCATTTACTGCTCAGCACCGCGTCTTATCTATCAGGAAGTTGGAACAAATTGATCTTAAAGTCTCTTCTTCATGCAATACTCTCTAATCAAACATGAGCAGATCAAGGCAGGCGGGTGACTTAGTCTTGTGGCCTTGTCAATCACATCACAATTTTAAAAAGACAATCATGAGGTTGAAAGCAAGTTTGTGCAGAAAGATAAGAAAGGAAAACCAGTTTTTATTGCATCATTCATGCTTTGATCTAGAAAAAGTAAAGATTAACACTGTACCTCAAGAATTAAAACATTGCCAACTAGAAAGCAGGATGTCACGCACTAAGGCAAGTGGAAAGGCAATCGGTGTGGCCAACCCGGATGCACAAGTGAAAATGTGTTCTGGTGAAGCAAAAGGGTACAAGAGTACCTTGTAAACCAGGAATGCATTTGTTTCTGCATCTTTAAGAACATTACTATTGTCGCATTCCTTGACACTGCCTTTATCTGGCTTTGATTTCTAACTTGCTAGCTACTTCCTCTAATCTGACACTGTTTTTAAAGAAGACATTTTGTTTCATCTTTAGCTATCAGAGTACCTGGTTATGATATAATACTAAAAGGATTACTTTTACTTTTCTGAGATCTAATCTCTATTCTTTCTTATTGTTTACTACATGAATTCTGACATGTAAAAACATCTGCTCTGGAATCCTGTCACTCTACATTTCCATAGAAACAATACAATTTCTAAGGCTAGACTCAATTACATCATTGCCTCAAATGCTGAGTAGAATTTTCTTTAAAAGACTATTTACTGTGGGGTAAACAAAGTGAGAAAATTGAAGTTAGCCTTTGGTGATGATATTTACCTCTTAATTCTTTAAAATGTTAATAAATCTCACAGTTACTGAGGGGTCCTTCATCTTTAGGGAGTAAAGGAAATAACTTTATATATCTACAGCATTTATAAAGCTGACTTCTGGGCAATAACATACATATGCTATCTTTGAATATGTGTTTTACTGAGAAAACACTTTATTTTTACTCTATTTCCCCATATATGATATTTGCAAATTGAAGCAATCAGTTACCACATACTAGATCGCATGTGTCCAAAACAAGGTAAATAACCAATATTATAGTAATGCGCACACAAATCAAGATCATAACAGAAAATCCTGGAATATAATGACATAAATTAGTGATAGCCAATTATTTAGTTTTTCGTATTAACACCAAAACATTTGAAAAGAAAGAGATCAACTTGAAATATGAACACTACAGGTCATGTTATATCTCAGCTTGTATCTTCTCATGTTAAATGTTTTTAATGAAAGATGATTAAAAAAAGGTGTCTGAATGGTCAGCATTATTCATGCTATTCCTTGAATAACAATACTAACTAGCTTCAAATGATATTTTAGTGAAAATGACCATGAATTTTCAATCATTATCCATAGGAAATGGGACAGGAACATGAGGGAAAATTATTTGAATAGTACTTTATATTTCAAACATTTTAATTAAAATACATTGGATATTTAAAACAAAAAAGGTAAAGCATTGTCAATCTAAGCTCAAGGCAATCAATATTTGGTTATAGTACCGTATTTTATATACCCATCAAATTGTGGATACAAGCTGCAGTTCTTTTTCCTATTTTTTTTCTGTTCTTGTTTGGCATTCAGATTAAATTAGGTAATTATTGAGTATAGACATCTGTGGCTTGAGCTTTTCTCTTGGAAATGAATGTTTATTTAATCAACCTTTACTTAATGATAAAATTATCATCTTTTCTAGGGTGGTCTGGGTACTTTTCAGCTATAAAATAAAATCAACTGACATGTGAGAAGTTCACATGAGTTAAGGTTAAACATGGAATTTTAGTTCCTTTATAGTTGAAACTAGGGATAATCAGAACCTCTACTAATCTTTTATTTTTTCCCAAAATCATAAGGTCATTTTATTTTGGAATGTGAACACTATTAAATCTGTGAGTCACTCCAAAGAAAGTCTTAGTGTAAGTGTTTTATTCCTTCTAATAAATCTCAAAGTATGTCCTTGGTTCTCCAACTTCCATTACACACACAATATTGTCTATTCCAAAAAAGATTAAAAAGATGACCAACAGCAGAATGAATCCCTTAGTCTTTGAGAAATCAAGTCAATTCATCCCGGCATAAGATGAAGAATCTATTATGGTGTTGCTCTGATGTATTATGCCAATTTTTAAAAATTATTTTTAAAAATACCCATTTAATGTGCAAAATATAAAATTCAACTTTAAAACACTTGTTTAAACAACCAGTTCATCCTCAAAAAAGCCTAAAAGAACATAAATAAGGATTATCATCTTCTATTTTACAGTGGAAAGTGATAATAATCCCTCACTGGTCCATTAACACTACAAAATAAAGCCCTGAGAAAAAGCTTAGGATTTAGGCAGTCTTGGCATTTGAGGGAAGTTTAGAAAAATAGAAAAGCCACATTAAAACAAAATGAAAGAAAAAATTTAAAACTAAAACCAGACCAGATGGTGATGGCTGGATGTCAGTGGCAACAAGAGAAAGCAACACATGTGGATTTAATGTTCTTTCCGCAGACAGACTATCAGAAAAACATATTCTCTGGGAGATCAGACTAATTATGTTTGACAGTAAACCACTGCCTCATACAACCTACCACAGCCCTATGGCTGGAGAAATAGAGATGCAGAAAGGAAGGCTTAAAGGATAGGTGCAGACTTCAGCCACAGATGTCTATACTCAAAATTTAACAGTGAGTGAGATATAGCATTCCTCCTATTATCAGAAGGGATATATTCCAAGAGGCCCAGTGACTGCAGAAAACCACAGATAGTACCTAACCTTGTCTATACTGCTTATTCCAATTCCTACATACCTATGTGAAGTAAATATACAAACTGTGAGCAGCGAAGAATTAAAAGCAACATGTAATAATACAATACAACAAATCACAATATACTATAACAAATGTTATTTAAATTGTATAAACTGTTTTTTTCCCTGAATTTTTCATTTAATAGTTTCAGTCTTCTGCTGAACAGGAGTAACTGAATCTGTAAAAACAAAATCACAAGATTATTAAGGGGGGAACCACTTCAACTGAGAGTTCACACTTCATATGTGCAATTCACTATTATCATCACACCATATTTCAATCTGCCTGGAGGAAAATCAATGAGTTCATGACCCAGATACCTACTACTGTGATAATAACAGCAAATTAGTCTCATGTTTAGGTAATGGGTTTAAAATGGCTTGATACTCTATCTCCACCAATCTATTCCTTTTTACCTAATCCCTTCCTTAATTAAGGTCATTCACAAGCAATCATACTGTAAAACCCTTTCAGGAATGAATTTCTGATCTTGAGTCTCTATTTTTGTATCTGCCACCTTGTAACATGTGCTGAATTTAATTTCTCTGGACCCTCTTCTTAACAGGATTCCAGTTACGGAGAGCTACTCCAGGGAGTCATGGCATAGCACCACCACCAAGAGTGGAAACACAGGTCCTTCTATGGGAGTGTCGATAGTCTAATGAACGAGTAAAGTAAGGTAATTAACTCTGAAATATGTGCTGAAAGACAGGAATGCACGGGAAGCTCTGAAAGCAGAAAAATGTGCACTTCACCCAGCCTTGGGGGAGGAAAGGATGAGACGGGGTAGAGAGGAGGGTGAGTACCACAGAAGTCTTCCTTAAAGATGTAACCATCTTGTTGAATCTTGCGGAACTGGTGCAAATCAGGCAAAGAAATGAGGGAAGATACATTCAGGAGAGGATGAATAGCCCAACAGGAGAACGCCTGAGGAGTTACAGGATCTGCAAGATTCTACATGAGAAAAGGGCCAATTTTGTTCTCTGATATATTTATTGTGCCTTGAAAAGTTCCAGTCTGAGTAAATTCAATGCACCAAGTGACTGGGTGGTGAAATCAATCACTGACTAACAAATACTGTTCAGTACTGATTAAGAGGCAATTTTAGAAAAGCAAAAGTAGGAGCGAGATTATTCAGGACGATTTTGCTTTAGTCCCGGTACAGTACCCCAGAGGATTAGCAGAGTCACCTGAGATAAGGAACCTGGGTGAATTTGAGGTATATTCTGGAAGTATAATAGAAAGTGCTTTGTGTTTAGGAGAACGAGAGGATGAAAAGAGGAGTCATAAGTGGTTGATGGTGGCCCAAGAGTTGTGTTCCCTAAAAACCTAATGATGGAAACAAGGATAATGTCCAATCTAAATATGCAGTAGTTATGGAGCTTTAATAATTAAGCATTGAAATACTTAACTGATGCCAATATTACTAGCATTTTATATCAGATGGCAAAGAAGTACAAGTCAGTATTTTGCTCCATTATTCTAATAAACTTTACAAAAATTTTAAAGACAATATTTGTATTCCTTCATGATTAGTCAATGATGTTCACATTCAACTTTATATGTTTAGATTGTCAGAATATTTTACAATGAATGTATAATTACAGAGTGGTTGCATTTTACACGATAGATGTGTTTTTTATGACTTTTGCTTAACACTTGCAAAATCCAAGAACATAGGTAGTATTTCTGTTTCACAGCTACAGTGATGATGCTTTCAGGCACCAACACATTTTACAACCCACTGTCATTTTCAAACAAGTAATGTTTTAAAATCGATTAACACAGACTTTGAAATTATTTTGTAATAAAAGTTCATAAATGTCTAAGAACATAAAGAGTAACCACAGTCCACTTTTTCAGATTTTGTTTTCTTTTTTGTTCAATTGTAAGTATGAGTAGGACACAACTCTTGGTTTTGATTTGTGATCTTTTTAATTTGCATAATTCATATTCTACTCAGCCAAGGGTGCCATAACAAGGCACCATAAGTAAGCCATTGTTGACTGATACCTAACTGAAGGCAGATTACTTAAGAGAACAGTGAAACCCAAAATATGTTTAGTATACCAAAACTCAACAGACGCACATCTAAATTTCTAAATATTAAGTGCCATATACATTATGATTATTTTGTATAATTTTCTTGATATAAATGCTTTTCTGATTATTTCCATATTTTCAATCTCATTCAGTTTCTGAAAACCTCAGAAGCTGAAAATTAGAATTATGCCAAGATCACCTTGGTGGCCATCTGCAAACACACGGTATCTTCTGAGTCTAAGAAAGGTGCCCTGATAGATTTCTTTGCTCACCTCAGCTGTGTATGAGGTGGGTGTGGAGGGTTTCACAGTTTTAATTCTGTTGCATTGGGCATAACTGAAAGCATTAACAAAGTGAATGAAACAAGGGACACTGGCTCCCAGAGGTCAGACACTCATGGCCGATCACCTTCCCTACCTGACTGGTCACACACCTTGCACAATTCATCTCCACCTTTCTTTTCTCCTGTTAATTAACCTTAAAGTCTCCTTGCTCATTTAGTTCACAAAAGTCAATGTTTTTTTGGGCTTTTTCTGCTGTCAAGAAGTGTCCATTATCTTTCTGATGAACTAAAAGCACTCTTCTTTCTTCTTCCAACAGAATGTTGCTGATTTATGGAGCATTACGAAAAACTCCTCGCTTTACTTCCTTAAGCTCCCTAGGGTTGGTCTCAAGACAGAAACACTTAATCAGATTCCTTCTGTAAAGAGCTATCCTCCTCCACAGACACACCACTTCACAAAATGTGGGGGGTCAAAGTCAGGAGACTGCTTCAGAAACCTTTTTGTGCGATGGTTTATGGAACGGAGCAAAAGTACACATAACCCCAGACAGACTTACAAGTACATACTTGTTTATCCAGGTAGAAATTCTGAACCTTCTAAGTCTGCCATTCATGAGAAGGTATTTCATTATTCATAGACTGGTTATAAAGTATGTACTTATTTTCCAGGAAATGTAAGTAGAGAAAGACATGCCCATGGGGTTACATAAAACCCTATCTGTGCCGAAGACATTTGACTCATTGTTCAAAACAAATTTGTGCCTCCACAAATATGACTCCTGTTTAAGTGCCAAGGATGGTGAAGGCTGGCTGCCTGCTACATAAGTGCTTTCTTCTACACTCTGCTGGGATAGAGTCTGGTAAATGACACTGTGTGTCTATGGGTCCTTGGAATATCATAATTTATCGTTTGGGAGATATGTGTATTTTTACATACTTACTTTTATAAAAGGTTTTATTTTGCTGTTCATCTCCCTAATTTTGTTAAAATATTGTTTTAATAGTGAATATGGGGCTGGGGATTTAGCTCAGTGGCAAAGCGCCTGCCTGGCAAGTGCAAGGTCATGAGTTCGGTTCCTGGTACCGGAGAAAAACCAAAAAAATAAAAAAAAAAAAAAAAAAAAAAAAAAAATAGTGAATATGTACATAAAAAGATCAGTCTGAATTTCTTTGGTATTTTCCCTCCGTTTACAATTAGTGGTTTATAAGAATAAATATTCATAATTTGCCATTTTGGGGCTTTTCTGGGAAATATTCATTATCATCCTTTTTCATGCCACAATGTGACTTTTAGTTTGTGAATGAGGTCCATTAAAGTAGTCTAGACTAATCAAAAGCAGGTTTAAGTATCCAGAGATTATTTTCAGACTCACAAATTACATACAGTTTTTCTTTTAGCCTCTGAAAGGCCTGATTTTCTTTCTACAAAATGTAAAACACAAAAAAGAAAATTCATTAATTGGGGACTTAATTGTATAACTCAAGTGCTTCTCCAAGGAAGCAAAACAACAATTTTAGCTTTTTTTGTGATTCTTCCACTTCTGTACTAAAATATTACCAGTAATGAAACTCGAAGATTGCTTTTCTGGTAGCAATGTTTAAACAAAGTCAAAATAGCATATAATCTCATCACACACTTAAGAAATATAAGTTGTTACTAGTAAGATATTCTGTTACATTCATGATTCTAAAGGCTTATGCAATATCCACTGAGATACTTCAGTCTAATTTGAAGGTATCTGAGTTGCTTTAATTTACAAGAAAATTTAGGCTAAATTCAAACTTATTAGTTATAAAAGCAGCTACAGAAAGAGGAATATTTGATACAAAAAAGAATTATTCCCTATAAATAAAAGAGTAATCAGAGTGAAGGCCTTTTAAATGCTTTTGGGCTCCCCACTTCCCCATAATCCTAACCCAAATCTAGAGACCAAAAGTCTGTGGGAAATTGTTAATTTAATGAAACATTAAATCATTCCCAAACTATGATTACAGTAGACTCCCTCTTTGAATGAAGATATAAAGGTCTACTTTCTGTTATTACCAGTGTAACAATCATGCTTGATGTCCCCTGACTTCTAAAGATGTCTTCCAGAAGCTTAGTCAGCACCTACCACTAGGATTGTCCCGTTGTTGGTGTGGGGCATGATAGAAGCATACTCCATTGAATATTTTCTTAAATTATACTACAATAGCAAGAACTTCAGAGTATTCTTTAAAGAAACCAAACATCTGGCAGAATTGTTATTGATTTTCAAAATATCAATGGAAATACAGCATAATTCCAAACAAGACTGAAGGGTACATCATTGCTATTTTAATTAAGAAGATGAAGTGTTTTTCATATATACTTTTTGGCTACATTAGGAGAAAAATCCAAATTTGATATTAAATCATAATGAAGTTTCTATTTCTACTGAGTCTAAAAGTTAGATTAGCGTCACAATGGTATAATCAAAGCTTCAGATCATCATAATATATGGGCTTGACCACTGTAATGTGCTACCATTATTTTCATACTCTATGATCTCAAAGGGGCTGCTGAAGCTCTAGGAATCACATCTGAACATAAGATGAGGTAGGTATAAGTGCAGAAGAGAGTCATGACTCTACACTTACATTTATCCTTTTAGTGAGAGATAGAAAACCAAGTGCTAAGTTAGTGAATGCCAATATCTTCATAATAGAGGTTGACAATTTGAGCTGAGAATACAAGTTGGGTTTTTTTTCATATAGCATGGGAGAGTTAATAAGAACTGCTATAATTAACTTTCCTGCAGTTCCTTCTACCTCTTTATGCCTTATTGGGCTACTAGATTTGAGTCAATGAATCTTAAAGTATCATTTTAAATAATATTTATGTATCATAGTGTGTAGACATTACAGATCATATTTTTAAATCACATATAAAACAGCAATATATGTGAGCAAAATATTGGTAATATGAATTTTTAAAACAGCATGAATAAATCTAACAAAAATTATATTGATTGGAAAAAAGTTACACGGATGTGTTTTATGATTTAATTTAAATAAAATTCAAAACACACTAAATTAATATGTGGTATTAAAATTCAGATAGTCATGGTTCTTTTTGGGACAGAGTGGTAAATGGAAGGAGAAATAAAGAAAACTTCTAGGATATGATATTCTTTTGTTTCTAAATACAGGTACTGGTTGTACAAGAGTGTTTATTTCATGAAAATTTATTAAACTATATATCAATGATCTGTGCATTTATATGTGCATACATCTAAATATACTTGCATTATACATTGTATAAAACTACATATAATATTCTTTATTTTGTTCAAAAAACATGAATGAAAAATAAAATTATTTGATGTGAAATATCATGACCAAATACTGCTACAATAAGACATAGAGGTTTTAATTAGGTAGAGGTTTCCAGGACCTACATTCACAGATCAGTTGTGTCATATTTCTGGTTTTCTCTGAGAATCAGATGGGTTTTATTTCAATTCATCTAGGTAAATTTGAGAAAAAGAAAAATAAGTCAATAAAAACACATGTACATACATATACCTTCATAAGTTTGTGTGTATCTATGCAAAAATTGTTACAGTTCTGCTCTAAAAATTTTTAATTTCTGCATAATATTTACAGAGAAGTTAATACAGGTTAGATTGCATGTTTTACACTCTAGCTCTAAGAGCTCTGCAAACATATTTTCCTATGCAAATTTTTATACATATTTAAATATCCTCCATAGAAGGAGTGAAATTGTTGGCCAGGTTAAGTTAATTGCACAGAGTACGGCTTTTCAGTGAACACTGTAACTATTGTATTATATGATGAAATTGCTGCTGCTTTTATATTCACTCCAAAATAGGCTGAAAACACTTCAATCTCTTAAAGAGAATAGAGCTAGAATTCAGTAGCCCTAGTCAGTGTCAAAATAAGAGTCCATTTGCTGCTAGTATATTATGCAAACTATTAATTTAAATCTTCGGACCAATATGCCGATACAGAATCCAGTAAGGAGAGTATATTGTTTCAGATGTTGCATGAGAAGCAAATTTCTAAGAACTGTTTAATTCTATAATCTGTGCCTAATCTTGTAAGCTTGTATAAGTTAGCTTTCCAGGGAGAAAATTCAAAGTTATACTGCTAGTTGTAATAAATAGAATAAAGTCTTAGGGATCAGAGAAAGAAAAAAATTGATATAGGAAATATGTTGAGCTAAAGCATTTTCTATTAAAGACAATCTAGCAAAAAATAAGTGGAATGATAAGTTGTTTCTATGAACTTTCTCCATGTACTAATATACACATTCTAATCACTTGGACAGGGATCCCTTTCATCTTGGAATATCTCAAATACACCCTTAACATCTACAAAACCATACAAAAACAGCAATAGTGTACTGGCAATTCTGGCTTCAAAAACTAATTTATACCTGGGTAGCATTTTCTAGAGTGAAGGGACAGCATTCTGAAATCACTCTTTTGACTTCTGTCCCAAATTGTAATTTATATTGAACATGTAAATGTTTGTGCAATGAACATTATAAACCTGTAAAATATAGAGCCTTCCATAGGAGCAAATACACCATAAAAGTATACTCTCCATGTCTCGCAGTTGGAAAACATTACATACTACCACAATTCAATGGCGCCCTTTTTATTGCACATGCTCAAATGAAATACCACATTATAATTACATTTGGCATTTTGAAGAGTCAAGAGTTCAAAACTGGAATGTATTAAAATGAGAGAAATTATAAGCAAATACCTCCTATTTGTATGCAGCTTTTGGACAAGCACAGTGTTCAGTTTTGGAAATTCATAAGTGATTCCTTTAATAATGCAATTTCCATCTGTTTTATTAAAGTTATCTACACAAAAGAATGTATAAAATATATGATAGCTTAAAGTATTTTAGTAATACATACACCCATGTGTCTACCGCTTAGGTTAAAAATAAGACCAGCCAATTTTTCCAAAGTCCCCTGTAGTCCTCCCCAATTATATAACACTTTTACCCTTCACCCAGACATTTTTTATCATCCTTCTTGTAAAGTGATATTGTAATCATTCCCTTTCCCTTTGTTTTTGAATAATTTTATCACCTATGAATATATATCTTCTATTTTTGAGCTTTTGGGGTTTAAATACCTAGTGTAACACTTCTTTTCTTTGCATTTAATGTTTTTTTTCAATATGATGTTTGGGCAGACTTCTTAAGTGAAGTTTGCGTGTAGCTGCCCTTTGCCTAGTTTCCCTGTTGAAGAGTGTACCAGTTTAGGATTATTGTACAATGTAATTCCCATTTGACCACTAATGGGCACTTTGGTTATTTCTGTAATTTGTGTTTTTATATGCTATACATTCACTCTAAGAAAGAAATCCCTACAGCTAACGTTACTTGTATATTCAGCTTTCCCTCGAAACAGCAATCTAATTCTAAAAGTGCCTGGAATGCCATCAATGAACAGAAGTTCCTAATGCTTCACATATACGTTAATATGTGCTAGTGTCAGTGTCTCAACTACTTTTCTCTTGTTGCTGAGAAAAAATACCTGACACCCAGAATCAAGGAAGGAAAGGTTTATTTAGCTCACAGTTTGTGGAGGTTTTAGTCCACACTCAGCTGGCTCAAAGGCAGAGTTGCACGTGGCAGAGGACAACGGTTCCAGGCAGAGGAAGACAGCAAAAGCAACAAGATGAAAAGGGAGGAGCAGCAGTGGCAAACAGACTCTTTCCCTCCCTTACATTATATGCAAAACTACCCCACCCAGAGCAAGTGTAGCACTCAT